CTCAGTCTGTGTCTGTTTTTAAAAGTAGATTAAAAACTTTTCTTTTTAGAAAAGCCTTTTATAATTAATATTAGCTGTCTTAAGTGTTAACGTTAAAGTTTTCTGTAGGCGCCTTTGAACAGTAGGATACTGGCGCAGTATAAATCTTTTATTATTATTATTATTATTATTATTATTATTATGATAAGAAAACGTGTTCAACAGTATTGTTCAGTTAACAAATACAATCAAACTTCCATTACACAGACTACTGAGGATTGGGCTCAATAGATTTTATAACTGAAAACTTCAATTTAATTGAACCAAGAATAAAAGTGAAAATGTATCATACAATAAATATCATGTGAGAATCAAAGAACATTCTCAAATCATTTTCCATTGCAAACACTTGCCAAAAGCATGTACAAAAAGTTATTAAATTATTCAATGTCTTGCATTAACCTAAACGATGCTGAGGTAAATTAGTTTTTTTCAAGTTGCTAAATCCATGTGTGCCCATCTCCAATACCATCATTCTTCAGAGGCCTTAATGGAATAGTGTCGACATTGTTATGTCTTTTCATCTGTGTTAAAATACTGCCTTAAACATTCAACAGCTTCTGAAAGGGTAACAAATTGAGTTTAAAGGGACCTTTACTATTATGTACTTTGTTTGGTGTAATTAAAGATTGTAATGGATCTCAAATGTGATCCATTAATATTCATGAAAAAATGGGACCAAAAAGCAGGCAAATCAAGGTTTGACTATAGTTAGATGTTCAGGCATTTGCACATACCAATGATGATAGTAATGATAATAAATTGATGATAAAAATAATGAGAATAAGTTGATTATTATAATTACACCTATTAACATACACACTATGCACTAATGGTAGTTACATTTGTCTCATGCTTTGGAGGGGGTGTTTTTTGTTAGGTGTGAAAAGTGTGACAGCAATTTACAATTACTACAAGAAGTTTGGTTACAAAACTGTTGTCATGGGAGCATCATTCAGAAATACTGGGCAGATCACTGAACTAGCAGGATGTGATTTGCTTACCATCAGGTGATAATTTCACTCACTTTTTTTTCACCTTTTAACTCCCATGAGTGACCAAGACAGAATTTCTGCTTACATTTATCAATACAATATCAAGCAGACAAGTGATGAGGATAAAGAAAATATCAACTAGGGGATTATTAGTTAATTAAATGCCAAATTTTCTGATCTAGCATCATAAGAGTTGTATGGCAGACAAAGAGGAGAATTGCTAATTAGATCATGGGAGTGATGGGGTTAATTAATTGTAGTAAATCAAGTCAGAGTTTCATTATCATAGGCACTTCAAATCACCCTCTCTTATAAGGTTCATGGTTACTAAGCAAATTTATCCGCTCAACTAGTTTTGACCACAGAATATAATTGGCATCATATTTTCATGGTACACAGAAATCAAAGATTTATCTGGTGAATTGTGACTTTCCACACCAATGTTTTAGTTGTAGTCCGTGCTAAAATATTTGTCAAAATAGAAACTTGCAACTCTCTCACTCTTAAATGTTTCATGTGGAAGAAAAAAAGAAATTGACACACACTTTCTTTCATGCACCACATTCTGAAAAAGCACCCAAGAACCTTGCTTTATATGAAATTAAAACAAGTTTTTATATGGGCCTGGTTATAACAATGACATCTATCCATTGCTTTACTTCATATGGTATGTGACTTCTCACTTCATATTTTGTGATTTCAGCCCTTCATTGCTAGAAAAACTCTCAAATTCATCTGAAAAAATTTCCCAGAAGCTTTCAAAGGATGAAGGTAAGAAGGCGATGTACTTCTTCCATGATCACCCTTAGTGGCAGTCATTTTTGCGTCCTCTAATCAATAGGAAATGCTTAACCCTTAACCTTACTTAAGAGTGACTAGCATCCAATTTCTCCATTCAGTATTACCCCTCAATAGAACATTAATGTATTAAGAATACCAAAAATGATCAACAACTACTGTAACAGAAATTCTTGATTGTAAAGCAAATTATATCCTTGTCAGTATCGTAGAAAATGTATAGAGAACAGTATGGAGAATATGCAAACTGATGTTAGGTGTCAAGGGTTAACAACTACATTATGAGCTCTCCATTTTTAAGAGCTCTCTATTTCTCTCCATTTTTAAGAGCTCTCCATTTTAATAATTATTTTAAGACTCGGGGTCTTAAAATAATTGAGAAGAATTTGCTACCTTTCTATAACATCAGGAAATGGTTAGATATTCTAGTCTACTTGGATAGGGATGAATAAATGGAGGTCCCGTCTCTTGCAGGGTTGGGGTAGGAGACGTTAATTTCCCACACACGAGATTACTGTGTGATGGATGTCCTCTCCTGGGGTGGGATGGGTGGGAGGGTGGACTAGCATGAATGGTTCCTATGTTCCTTTCTAGTCCTTCCCCACTGCAAAACTTAATGCAGTGAAAATGGATTAAATTAAATAATGTGTGATAGTTGAAGAGGGCAAAGACTGAATCGACTATTGCACAAAAATGTAGAGGGAATTATGTAATTATTCAAGTGTAAATCTACTAGTCATTCAAAGTTCAACAAGACAGGCTTGTCTTTTCATATTATTTTGTTTACAGTTGCACTCTGCCAGACTTCTTAGTCATTATGTTTAGGCAGCAAGCAACATAGCCAATCAGATTGTAGCATTTTTAATAGAATGCTAGTAGATTTCAAAAACTAAAACTTCACATCATTAAGCCTGACATATGGTGAACATAAAAACAGAGACCAGCATACATATTACCTGGGCCGTAGCTAGCATGAGGCAAGACGAGGCAATTGCCTTGTCTTGATTTTGGCCTTTTTTAATTTTTTTCTTAAAGATTGATTTTTCTGAAGAAAAATGCCACAGAAAATCCTTAAAAGAGCATTTATAAACCTCTAGATTTCAAAGTTTTCTGGGGGGCATGCCCCCAGACCCCTCTAGCGGCTCGTGCCTTCGGCGCTCAAAACTTGCCTCATCTTGTCCTGAAATCTGGCTACAGCCCTGATTACTGTACATTGTACGTGCAGCTTTATATTTTCATCCCTGTTAAGTTAATTTTTAACTCTAAAGAGTGTCAAATTAACTCTATGGAAGTACTCTAACAGTGAATAATGCATACTTATGTATGCAAATCAACAGTCACACAGGGCAACATGCATAACCTCTTAGGCAGTATCTATCAGTTGTTGTTGTTGTTGCTTGTTAATTTTATCAACACTTCAATTGTACACCTTTTTTAGCCGAAAAACTCGATATTGAGAAAGTGTCCCTAGACGAGAAGAAGTTCCGCTGGCTTCTCAACGAGGATGCCATGGCAACAGAAAAGTTGGCGGAGGGAATCAGGAAGTTTGCTGTAGATGCTGTGAAACTTGAGGATATGATAAAGGCTGAACTCCAGAAATGAGCTTTCCATAGAGAAAAGTCCTGTATAAGCCATCAGGACATTTTCCTAAAACTTTTGAAAACGTGGCTTTATGGTCCTTAACATGAAAAAATGCTAAAATGCATGATAACGGGTATTTAAAATCAGTCGTCCGTCTTGCACAAGACACACGAAGTTAACCAGTGCTAGTGGTATTTGAGTGGCTGTAGTTCCGTACTGAATAATAGCTAATGAAGATGCGTGCTTTACATCTAGGGTAGATTTTGATAATGATTTAATTGTTTTATTAAATTAACAACCAGCTAGTCAGCTGTTTACAATCATTATAAAATTCTTTTTATAAGATTTAAATTGTTTCTTCTGTGTTTGTTCGTTTGTTTGTTCGTT